TGGGCCTGCGGACTATGGCCCACGGTGCACGGCCATGGTGCCACAGCGTATCATGACACGGCGTATGACGATGGCACAAATACCCCAGCAAGGGCCTGGCCCTGGATGGTCAGCATCCAGCATCCCCACATACCAGGCACTGGGCATCTGTGTGGAGGGTCGCTCATCAGCCCACAGTGGGTCCTCACAGCAGCCCATTGCTTCGTCGATATCAGGTAAGGAGGATCAGGGAATGGGGATATCCCCACAACACCAGCAGGTGCCCTGGCAGCAGCAGCAACAGCAGTATGCATTCCTCCCATCCCATGTCCTTGCAGTGTGCCCAGTGGGACTGCCCAGGAGAAAGCTGGGCTCATGCCACTGCTTCTTAGCAGCCTCCAGCCTGACACTCCTAGAGCCTAAGGCATGCTAGGGAGGTCATTCTCTGTAGAGTTGCTTTCCTCTCTGCCTTGGGAAGCGGAAGGGCCCAGGGAACTCCTGGGCTGCTGCAGCGCATGGCTCCGCTCCCTCTCACCCTTCTCTCCATCTGCCTTCCAGGAACATCAGCCTCTTGAGGGTGGTGATCGGGGCCACACAGTTGACTCAGCTAGGTCCTGGGACACAAGTGCACCGGATTAAACGGCTACTGACTCACCAACACTATGATCCTCGTACCGAGAGGAATGACATTGCCTTGCTGGAATTGGACAAGCCCGTCCAGTGCAATGCCTACACCCAGATGGGTTGTGTGCCTGACAGCACAGTGAGACTGTCAGAGACGGAAACCTGCTATGTTGCTGGCTGGGGTCTCACCGAGGAAGGAGGTGAGTTGCCAAGAGGGACTCGTGCCCTGAGGGCAAGCTCAGCACACTGGGGAGATGGGTTGGGCTTCCAGACAGCAGAGGCCAAAGCCAGAGTCAGCCTGTGGGACATATGCCTCTGGAGAGATGGGCCTGGGCTGCTCTCCAAAGGCAGAGAGCAGGGGGACAGTGCTCCAACACCTCTCCAGAGGCAAAGTCAAGCCCTAGGCAAGAGGATCACTCCAGACAGGGGAGGAGAACTGACATTGAATGGCTGGGTGCTCTTTCCATCCAGAGGGATAGAATGAGCACCACAGGCTTGAGAAGTAGGCCAATGCAAGCCTCATGAAGTTTAACCAAATGAAGTGCAAGGTCCTACATCTGGACCGTGGCAATCCTAGGCACCACCTACAAGCTGGGTGGGGAAGGAACTGAAATCAGCAGTGAAGAGAAAGACTTGGGAATGACAGTGGATGAGAAGCTCACCATAAGCTGCAGTGTGCACTAGCAGCCCAGAAAGCCAAT